AGGACGCAGGACCCAGGACCCAGGACCCAGGACCCATGACCCAGGACACAGGACCCAGGACCCAGGACCCAGGACCCAGGACCCAGGACCCAGGACCCAGGACCCAGGACCCAGGACCCAGGACCCAGGACCCAGGACCCAGGATTTTAAATTTTCCGATTTTAAAATTTTGCGTCATTTTCTAGCTGATCTTCCAATTTTTCGTTTCGGCTCCTGAGTACTCATGTATTCGCTTCATTGCTCATATTATATCATATTTCATATCAGTTTTTCTAGGTCACATTGCTCATAAAAACACCAAAAAAACTTTTCACATTGATCTTCTGACCGCCTCGGGAAAGAAAAAATTTCACATGTCATAATTTTTTCTTCCATGACACATTTTGTATAAATCCAAATCCATTTTTTTTTGTTGGAAACTCTTTTCTTGGGTCCATGTAGTAAATTTAGATTATATATATATAATTTTAATCTACATGTTGTCAGGTACTAAAACAAAACAAAAAATTTAAGATTGGATTTTTTTTTCTGAAGGAAAAAATGGAAAAAAATGTTTACCACTTTTGTTTCCTTGAAAAATGTCGGATTTTGGAGCTTTCTGACATTTTAAAAAAATTTTGGAATTTTAGAGAATCTCAACTAACAATTTTCACGAATACACCAGCCATTTTTTTCAAAGTTTCTGAATCTCTGAATCTCTGAAATTCTGAATTTTCTGAAATTCTGAAATTCTGAAATTCTGACATTCTGGAATTCTGGAATTCTGAAACCCCGAAATTCTAGAATTCTGGAACTCTGGAATTCTAAAATTTTGAAATTCTGGAATTCTGAATTTCTAGAATTCTGGAATTCTGAAATTCTGAAATTCTAAAATTCTGAAATTCTGAAATTCTGAAATTCTGAAATTCTGAAATTCTGAAATCCTGAGAATCCGAAATTCTGAAATCCTGAGAATCCGAAATTCTGAAATTCTAAAATTCTGAAATTCTGGAATTCTGAAATTCCGGGATTTAGAAATATAGAAGTATAAAAAATTCTGGAATTCTGGAATTCTGGAATTCTGAAATTCTGAAATTCTAAAATTCTGAAATTCTGAAATTCTGAAATTCTGAAATTCTGAAGTTCTGAAATTCTGAAATTCTGAAATCCTGAGAATCCGAAATTCTGAAATCCTGAGAATCCGAAATTCTGAAATTCTAAAATT